CTATCTATCTATCTATCTATCTATCTATCTATCTATCTATCTATCTATCTATCTATCTATCTATGGTTACGTTAATCAAGACAAAAATAAAATAAAAGCATAAATGTTTATAGAGTTTTAAACTTAGGAATCTGCTGTCCCTGCATCCAAACTAGTAAAAAGGTGTCAGCATGAAGGATCAGCTGAAAATCTCAATTTACAAAAAAATAAAATAAATAATAATAATAATTTTTGTGATTCTGCTCTGAGGAATAATAATTTGTGTTTGTTGTTGTCATACAGTCACGGTTTGATAACACAGCAACTCTGGCTTAAAGGAAGAATAGACTGAATATCATCTGCATAGAATGAGAACAATATGAATCATATTACCAAAGTTATTAAACATTCAGAGTCCCACAAGGAATTTACATAAAAAAAAACACGAAAAAGAAACTTACATCAGGTCAACATAATAAACCAGACAAAAATAATCATAATGATTAAATTATAGAAACATGTCTCTGTTCAGATGCTGTTTTCTTTACAATCAAACACAATGCTTGAAAAACAATGAGTTTTATAAAAACAAAAACACCTACAGCAGAATGATTAGTTGCTTCTTTCAACATCCATTTTGAAATTCAATAGAGGAAAAAGTCTTAGTCCCATTGTAAAAGCTTTGGTGAGTTATCAGTCCTGCAACCTCCTACCTCAGTCTGTCAGAAAAAAACTGAAAATAACATATAGTCAAATAGTTTTGTCTCAGGCTCTAAATATAAAACATTTAAACATTTAAATGACTGTGTTTTTTGGCATTATTTCCCATTGTAAATAAAAGGCAGTGAAGTTAAGAGCGAGTGGAGAAAAGATGCAGCAAAGGTCATTGTGCCAGGACTTGGCTGATGAAGGGTCATGTGCTTCTATCTCACCAACCTTAAAAAAGAGGCATATTTATTAATGAACAATGATAAATGAAGGAACCTAACATAATAGAGCCTTTCAGATTGAACCAAGCCGTGAAAAATCCGTCTGTAAAAAAATTGTATCACCTTTTTGATATTTTCACCCTTTAAGGTTTTTAGTTCTTTAAGGATTTTATGCCCAGTTTTTATAAGCTTCTCTGATGGGTTTTAGTTTTTTTTTTTTTTTGTTTCCAGAGCGTCGGCTAACCTGAGTATTTTCTTGATAGTTTCTGGCTTTATTATTTTTTTCAGTTTCACATCAGGTGATCTGTGGCTAAGTCCTGCTGAGGGTCTTGTTGAGGTCAAAGGTCAAACAGCTGATGGCATTTTCTCTGTTTGCAGGTTTTTGAGTCTCCTCAGCGACGGCCATGGGCATAGGGTAGCATAGGGAACATAGGGACATGTCCCTACCAACATTTTGGACTGACTTATTGTCCCTACCAATAATTAGATATGAATAACATGTGTAGAATTTACAATACAGCGTTGTTGCAGCCGTCGCTTCTTTTCCTGTTGCAGCTTAGCTACCTGGTAGCTGCTGCTGCCGCTCCGTCTGAGTCCCTGCCCGCTCTTTCCTGTCCCTTAAACTTAGCAGCGAATGTAACTGTGTTGTGGTGTTTACCTCCACTGTCATTGGTTGTTCTGTCTTAAGCTCCGCCTTCTCTCTTCCTGATTGGCTGTTTTTTTTTTCTTTTTAGTCTGTGCGTCTGAATTTCACATTTTGTTGTTCACCCTAGAATCCCGCGGTTACTCCAACTGTTGCTAGGCTACCAAACTAATCCAGCTAAAAGACTAAATATGCTGCAACAGTTGAAAGCTGCTGATTGCAGTTCTGTAACCCCTTGCTCACACTGGCTCCGGTGCGGTTACCGAGCCGACAGAGACCGCAACTCCCGCACACCCCCTCTCACACCGCCCTTTTGACTACGGTGAGGTGCGGCTCTGCGGCTCCGGCAACAGGTCCGGAGATTTAACTCGCGAGAACAGAAGTTCACTTGAGTTCACGTAACTTCACGCGATAACACGGCCCAAATAAGGATATTTGCGAGAGCTTGTTGCGGAGGGCTCCGGCACGCCGCAAGGATAGCTTTCTTGCTGAATTTTCTGCAGCGCCGGAGTGTCTCGGTAACCGCAGCCCGACAGCTCAGCAGCCGGTGAGAGAGGTTTACGTCTTTTTAATGACTTGGAATCACTGCGGCGCTGCACCCACCGTACCGCAACGGTAAGACCGGAGTTGGTGTGAGCCGGGGGTAAGCAGCAGGAGGTTTGGATTTGTGAAACTTGAGAAATGTAAGTAACCAAAGTTAACATGTGAAAATAATATTTAAATCTAAAGTATGATACATTTTATTCAGATTCTTAGCCACAGCCGACTGAAAAAGAGAATGTGATGGTGTCTCTGAGCAATATTTCTTTGCTATTACTGTTTTCATTTTATGGCGAGCCTTTGAGGCAGCGCAGGCATAAATAGCAGGTGTTATTTCTTTTATAGAAAATAACATGTAATGATTTGATGAAGTAGAATACACTGAATACGGCGTCTACAGACCAGCTTCAATGTGTGTAAATCAAGTTAGGTTCAAGTTCTTTTCCATGTTTTGGATGATATCTACACTTCAGATGTATTATGAAAAAATAGTGTTTGGAACGTTCCCATAAAATACATGAAATGATCGACACAGAGTAACTACAGCCCAGATGCGCAACTTTTATATTGAAGTTGATATTTTAAATGCTTAATGTCAGTTCCTCTTCTAGTTCCCCCCCGCACATGTTAATACATTTATTTACAGACCCTTGAATGTGTTATTTTTACGATACAGAGAAAATCAGCATATCGGCTTAAAAAACCAACCAACAACCCTCTATTACCATCTGCACAATTCCACAAATTCAAAAGAAATACAGGATAACTCTACATACAGCAGACATGCTTAGACTATATTTGGTTAAACAGGCAGGTATTTACCTTCTGTCTTAGTCGCTGCTAAGTTCTAATGCAAACCTTTTCAAAATGGAAAAAAGTCCCAATTCCACCTTCATCAGAGCCACTGATGCTTCAAACATTGATAAGCAGCATCTAGTGAGTGTAGCGCTTTTAAATTTTTTTTTTTATTATTAGTTTTTTTTTATTATATTATAAAAAAAAAAGAGTGTAGCGCTCATAAAATTTACATAAACGTAACAAAAAAATGCTGATTTTTCTCTTTAAAAAAAAATGCACCCTGATGCTCACATCAAGCATAACAAAAAGCAGCATTACACATTGTGTCGGACCAATGACATCGGACCAATGAAACTTTAGACCAACAGTGTCCCTACCAAAG